TAATTGACCATTTATCCGCATGAATAACTTAATAATCTTTCCTTTTCGAGAGTATCACAACTTTCCCTCAACCGTAAACTCCTTGAAGTCAAGAGAGGGTGGGCTGATTTGAAGTGCACCATCTGGCGAAAGGCTGTACCAGCAAATCAGAGCTCGAATTAAAAGGGCAACAAGTGGCTTTAACTTTGGATTAAACCTCGTTAGCTGGATGGCAGCGCGGATATATATTTTGTTGGCTTTGATTTGGCTTTTGATTGCCTACGTGAGGCGCGGCACCTAACACCTTGCCCCATCTATGACATAAGCGGCGGATACTTGATATTTTTTTGACAATGCTCCACCGTGTGCTCCACCCTCCTCCCCTTTTTTTCCAGTTTGCAATTGAAATTATATGCCTTGAACGATTTCGGGTTCGAATCTGTACGGCTTATTCAGTTCAGTTCAGTTCAGTTTATTTCGGTTTTGGTTTGCTTCGCTTTTGGTTTTTCGGTCTTTCAGTCCGGCTTCGCTGCAATTGCAACTTCGATGGCGGACTTGAGGCACGGCATAATTGACCGAAATTAACCAAAGATTATTCAATCCCTGCCGTAGCTCCACAAGCCTCTTCCCGCCTCAACCAGTCTTGGATTCATTTGCTTCTTTCGTTTTCTTGTGCGATTTGTCGCGTGTGTTCGACATCACGTATCTCTGTTTGCACTGTGGAGCTGAGGAGGATGACGATTACGATGTGGGAGAAAAAAGCAGAAAATAGATTATGGGGGAAAAAAATGGGTGAAAAAGGTATTCAAACAAATGCAAACTCCCCTTGACATGCATTATGATTAATTTCGATTCAATGCATACGCGCACTGATGAGATACAACGCATGGTTACCAATGAGTTCCTCAAATGTTTCATTTTATTGGGCTTATGTGTTACTGCTTATATTGCGGATATAAGATGGATGATCTTTCTCGTTGAGAAAGGTTTGGCCATTTATTGTATAACCTCTAAATAGCGTGACATATTATAAGCTTAATTAATTTGTGAGCTCTTTTTAATAGACGTATTTATAGACATACTTGTATTTAAATTTATATTTTAATGGCTTATGGTATCTCGATGCCCATCCATCTTTTATACACTTTGCGTGCATTTCCCATTTCACCTCATCAGCCGGCTCATTTTCAAGTTGGTCTCATCGATCGAACTTTCGACGGTTTAATGACCCAATTTCTGTGTTTCACTGACCACAGACACAGATGTTCAGCGCACGTCCGCCGATCTTTGCTGCCCCTGATATATGTATATATATTATATAGTGTGTCATCATACCGACTACTCGCTCATCTGCATCATCTTCATCTTTGGCATAACACTTTCCATTAGTATGCGGTCGCAATGACTTGTCGTTTCGTTAAAATCAAATCAAATATTTGCCCGAAACTTTGTTTGCATTTATTTATTAGTTATTTCCCACTGTATACCGTACCATACCATACCATACCATACCATACTATAACCCCGAAAGAGGGCCTTATATAAGAAGTCTGGGCATCGCCTTGGGTGGTTTATAGACTCGGTTTCATTTATTGCTGTGTTGCTCTTTGTTGTTATTTATTTTTGCAATATTATCATTACTGGGTGGCGTATGGTATTGGGCTTCCCTGGAAGTTGCATGCGAAATTCGCAATTGTCCGGCTTTTCGCTGGCAGTCGATAATTGTCGACAGGGCATTGCCCAAACTTTCAACTGACACCTACGAAATAAAACGTGCCGAAAAGCTGGCTATGTGGTCAATAAATTTGAATAACCTTGGCACACTTGAGCGCTCCAAAGCGAAACGGGATACATATATTTTTGTTTCTTATTTTGATGGCAACACGGAAGCCTGACTATCAAAGCCACGCCCACGGCCATAAGAAAGGAGGCGGGCGATTACGGAAACCATCATCAGCATATTAAAACTGCAGAGAGTTTAAACTTTTCAAGGAGCCATCGCGGGGGCATTTTTCGATCATACTGGCAATTTTTGACATTTGGCTTTGGTAAAGCGGAAGAGTGGGCAGCCCAGAAAACTGGCCAAAAGGGGCGTGCGCAAAATAACGCCCAGCACTTAAGGCAAATCAAAAAATTGAATACAAATTATAAACTTCGTGACTTCACTTTCTCTGCGGTTGAAGTCTTAGCTTACGGTTCACCACGGTTCATGTACATGCTAAACGCACAAGATACAACAAAAGCCAAAGTTAAACATACAATAATTAATTAATACTCATAAATAGAGACATGTGTGATATATATGCGCATAAGTTTATTTTTAAAAATGATCGTTCAAGCTGTTTTTAATCAATTTCCTTGGCTTAAATACTGGCTTTTCAAAACAATCAAATAAATGACAGTTGTCATGTAATCTTACATGAGAGTGAGAGTATCCTTTGTGTAACATAAGACTTTCATGTAGATAAAATGTATTTGACCACAAAAAAGATAGTAAATTCTAACAATCTATATAATTATCAAGAAAACGCACATCAAACAAACCAAACATTGGTAAATAGATGGGATAGAGTTCGAAATGCAAACCAAAAAGCATTAATTTAAATTGGTAATTTATTTGTTTTAATAAAACGAAAACATCCATCCCCATAAATAACCAAGTAACGAGAGTAAAAAACGAATTTTCTTTAATAAATAGGTACATAAATATTTAATCAAATGCTTGATAAAGTAATAAAAAAAACTGTTTTGTGGGATTTTGTACACTAAACTTATTCAAACCTAAGCATAAATTTAACGGTGAACAAAACGAGGAATTTGATAAAACAAAAACACATAGCGATAACATTACATCAGTTAATCCACATTTGACTAGTTGAAACATAAATTAGCGATAGACAACTTCTTAACTAAGTGGAAGTATGCGCCCGTCTGGCGCCCCAATCTTCTTTGATCAAATCGGAGGCCTTTTCGCCAATGGCGATGACCGGAGCATTGGGATTCCCATTGACGATCGTTGGCATAATGCTGGCGTCCACCACGCGAACTCCGGATACCCCGTAGACCCGTAATCTCGGATCCACCACTGCGGTAACATCCCAACTGGGTCCCATGCGACATGTGCCGGCGGGATGGTAAATGGTGAAGGTAAACTCCTTGATGCAACAGGCCCAGTACTCATTCGACTGGAATGGCAAATGCCTGCAGCCTGGCAGTGGGATGTTGTGCAATCTGGAGCCGAAACGCTGGAATGCCTGAGTATTCGAGACATTGATTGCCAACTTGATGCCCTCGACCAGCACATCGATGTCCTCCTGGTGGGCAAAGTAGTTTGGTATGATTTTGGGCTGATGCTGCGGATTCCTCGAGTTCAGGCGCACCCATCCGGTGCTTTTGGGCCTCAGCAACAGGGGCAGTATAGACCAGGTTTCACTGTGCTGCAGTGGTTTGTACACCGTGTTGTAGAAACCATCTCGCAGATTCAGTATCTTCCTTATCTGCTCGCCGCCATCGGAGTTGATGGAGCTGGGGCAAAAATGAAATTGTACATCGGGCCAGTCCACCGAAGGGTCTTGGTACTTGGTGTTCAGAAAGGCCACACCTTCCACGCCCGAGAATGTCATCGGACCGCGTTCTCTTAGTATATATTCCATGGAAACCGGTATGGTTTGGAAACGATTGCGGGTGACGGTCAGTGGAGCATCCACCACAAAGGTGAGTCCACCCAGACCCACATGATCCTGCATATTGTTGCCCACCGGGAGATCCGATATAACTGGTATATTGTGCTCCTGCAGATGCTCGGCTGGACCAACTCCGGAAAGCATCAGTAATTTGGGAGTATTCAGAGCACCAGCACTCGCTATCACTTCTCTTCTCACGAATACCACATTCTTGCGACCACCCCGCATGTACTCCACACCAATGGCTCGCTTCTGCTTGTCGAACAGAATCCTGGTGGCCTCCGCATGGAGCAGGACATCAAAGTTTTGACGCTGACGCACCGGACGGATGAAGGCCTTGCCCGTGGAGCATCTAGCACCACGGCGAATCGTGCTCTGCGTGAGCATAAAGCCCGTCTGTTGGGCTCCATTAATGTCCCGGTTCTCATAGCCCATCTCCATGCCCGCTTGGAGGAAGGCTATCGAGAGTGGCGTACGCCATGGGGCCTCCTGAACCGTTAGATATCCGCCCGTTTCGTGGTAGGGCGTCTTCGCCAGGTAGGGATTACGTACATCTTCCGATTTCAGGAAGTACTTAAGCATGCTGTCATAGTCCCAGCCCGGATTACCCAACGATGCCCAATGATTATAGTCGTTCTTGGAGCCACGAACATAGACCATGGCATTCAAAACGGAACTGCCGCCCAGCACTTTTCCTCTTGGCCAAAAGCAGCGATCGCCCTTCATCGCCTGACAGTATTGCCGCGTGGATGAGGGCGTTGTCTGGTACTTCCAGTCCAACTCCGTTAGCTGCAGGTAGCCCGCCAGAGCTGGCACGTCCGAGATCTCCGTTTCATCGCCGCCGGCTTCCAGTAGCAGAACCGTCCAATTGCGCACCTCACTCAGGCGATTCGCCACCACAGCTCCAGCGGATCCGCCGCCAATCACCACAAAATCATACTGACGACGTATCTAAAAAATGGGAAGTTTATAAATATATTTGAAAAGCCTTTAAGTGTATGCAAAGGATACTTTAAATACCTACAAATATGAGTAATTAGGAGTCGATTTGCCTATTAAGATATAGCTGAGCTACCATTATGTAGAACAGCTAATCTAATGGGTATCTAACTAAATGATAGATGATAACTAAATGTTTAATTGACCAAAGAGTCAACCACTGACTTGTTAAAGAGGTACATATTTTCACGAATTTTCATGAATTTGGAACATGCAACTTACGACGGTTGGCTCCTGGACCTTGTTCTCGGGATCTACGCTTTGATAGCGATAGAAGTTCATGCCGATCGCCAGCAGCGGGATCATGCCAAGCAAAGACGTCATTGTGCCAAACGCCATGTTTCAGTAATTGTCAAATCCACGGATCCGTACCAGCTGCGCCTGCTCCTGATGCTGCTCCACCTGATCCGCCTGTTCCGCCTGTGCCGCCGGCTGTTGTCCTCTTGCCAAGCCCGTAACAATGGGCTGGAGCACTGGATGATAGGGCTGTGTTGGTGCTGGAATTGCCCGATAAGCTCGATTCCCCGCTGGCCAAGATCTTGGGCGTGTAGTTGCGTATGCCGCCCGGACGAGCGGATTTGAAGTGAGCCCGTGCCCGCTCGTCCTCCTCCAAGATGTCCAGATAGGACTTGATGTACAGGTGATGGCTTAGGTAGTGCTTCTGCTTGTCCAGCGAGCGGTTCGATTTGCTGGACACCAGGGAACTGGGACAACCGCGACTAGAGCTGCTGCTGCTGCGACTGCTGCTCGCGCTACTGCTGACGACCGATATCGAGGATATGGAGCTGCAGTGGCAGGACGAATTGTAGATGCCGCTATCGGAACTCTGCGAACTGCTCCTCTGCAGGTTTAGTTTGGCGTAATGCGAATCCGTATCCGATTGACTTGTACTCGCTGCACTCGCCGGTATCTTGCTCCTTTCGTAGGTTTGTTTGCTCAAGTTGTACTTGTGACGCAATCGGTAGTTCTGATTGTTGTTATTATTGATATTGTTAGTGGTATTCGTGTGGCTATATTCGTTGGTGGTGGTGGAGGAGCTGGTGGATAGGTGACTTGTGGGCGTGTAGATCGGCTGATTGGTGTTGCTGATGCCGCTGAAGCTTTTTCGCTGGGGTTGTCGTTTGTGGTGGGGTAGTTGTTGTTGTTGGTGCTGCTGGTGTTGTTGGTGTTGCTGATTTTGCTGCTGCGATATCTCTTGGCCCATATTTTGACAGAAATATGAACAGAACTGCAACGATACAAGTTAGACACAATTTTAAAAACCCTTTTCAAAGAAGAAAGAACTTTAGTCACATTTTTTGCTGCAATATTTGGATTTCGAACTTGTAAACTAAGTGATTAAATAATAAATAGAATTAAGGGATAGCCTTCTTTATAAAATCAATTTGCTAAAGTGTTGGCTTTTATATAATCAAAATTCATGCAACCACATTTTACAACTCTATTTTGATTGATTTGGTTGCTATCATTATTATGGTTTGGCTGGCAACATCTTGATATTTCCCACCCTAATCCATTGATGGAGCAACCAGCTCTCGACCATTTCCAGATAACGACAATCAAAAGCGTGGGAGCTGCGCTATCATTTGTCCATTTATGGATAATGGGTAGCTGATGAGCATTGTAGTGGCTTTTTTTCGGATTTCTTGTTAACATGTTTGCCATTGTTGCATGACTTCGCACGCAAAAACAAAAACGAAACCGAATCTGGCTCGTAAATCAGCAACATGCAAGCATTATGGACTAGCGGAAGCCGCTATATACATCCAAAATTCGTGTATATATTCCAAAGCCTCCAGTTTGGCAATCGTTAACCAACAGATGGCGCTGTTACACGCGTAGTCAAATAAAAGACTTAGGCAACGAACTTGCTTACATTTTTCGCAAGCAACGAAAATAAAACGTTATCAAATCGCGTTGAAATTGAATTAAAAAAATATAAATATTCAAATGATGTCAGCTGCATCTCATTAGATAGCCATTCATTTTCTTTTCTTATTTGTATATAGTATTATATTGTCTCTCCGCGGCTGCATATATTTCTCTATTTTTCTTTCTCTTGCTGGCTAGTTTTTCAAGTTCAATGCCGTTTGACAGGCGGAAAAAGCAAACAGAAAAAAAATCCTCGACTCTTGATTTTTGTTGTCTCTTGTCTCTCGAGAGTCTCGAATGTCTCAATGTCTAAGCCTGTAAAATGTAATTTCGTTATTTTGTTTGTCCACTGGCGGCATCGGGGCTTAATTGCCGTCCAGCTCCTGTCGTTGTTGTTTTTCTGTGGTTTTTCCAGTTTTCCCCCTGCGCTCTCGATTTAAAGCGATCGCAGTGAAAGCCAAGCGACATCGAGCTTCCTACATACGGTACTCGTATTTCATGTAATCGCTATTGTATGTAATATTTGTTTTATTTTTCCCTTTTTATGCATGTTTTCTGGTTTTTTAGTTTTTCTCTTTTTTTTTTTTTTGGGGTACCTCTGTCACAACACTGGAAAATAAATGCTCTGGAACTGCTCCCGATTAATTAACCGCACCGAAAATAGTTGTCTATTTTTAGCCGCGCAATATGCTGTTAGCCAAATTGAGATATAAAATATGTGTATATATAACAATTTTTACCGGGCAATTTCGCTTCAGCGATTTGAACGGCTCGACGGTTGCCATGTAACTAAAAACACTAAAAAAACAACACGAAAAAAACAAACATCATCAGCGGCAGACGGCAGAAATTAAATCGAAAATCTGAAAAATTCATTCACTCAAATCCCCGTTAAAGGCAGACGCAACACTGCCCGCTAATTTATGCAACGCCCTTGGGCGGAGTGACAAAGGAAAACCCTCCAAGCCATATACGCATGTCTACCTATTTTTTCTGTTTGACGCAATACTGGGCTAGGTTTTCTCGGGCATTTTTACATCACATTGATGTCGATTCATCCATTTATTTCGTTGGCTCAGATCGTCATTATGCAATTCACACATTGTTAGCAAGTGGCCGCAGTTTTTTGGCTTATTTTTTTTATTTCATTGTTGGTGCTCAACTGCCTGCCAATTATGATTTGACGGCTTTTAATTATGGCCAGACTTTATGCCCCATAATTGACGACATTTTCACGGATTTCTGTTGGCTTACTTATTTGTTTTTTCTGTGTGCCCTGCCCATTGTGGGTCGTCCCATAGCCACATAAATCTAGTCCGAGTGTGGCAAGTAATTTCAGCTACTTTACTCCAGCTGAACGCTTTCTCGACAGTTGGCTGAGTCATGGTACCGTGACACATTAAAGAAGCCCAACTTGGCCAGCAAACACACGCGAGAAAACGTAGAAATAGTATGGAAAAACAATAGAAACTTTAATTTCCTTGCTGTGTGTGCTGCAGTTGCTAGGTGACACCTGAAAATTAAATAATTACTACCTTTACGTTTGGGAAGACTGTGATTAATTGAGAGACTAAGGCACGAAAGGTGTATTCACTGACTTAAACGATTACTTGGTGGTTTTTATTTCATAAATATATTTTAGGTAATGTAACTTCCTTGATTATGTTTATTTAAACATATTATTTCAGCTGAACTTCATGTAGATGTTAACAGATTTATGCATATCTCTACAGTTTCTGACTCCCTTGCTTTCTATTTTATAGTTGCATAAATTAATTGTAAAAAAATGTCATGATAGTATTCTATGCTCTCAATACAAGATTAAAATAAGAGCTATTAAACTACAAATTTTGTATTTCTTTAAGAATTTTACTGACTGACCCTTGCATTTGGGCCAACTTGTCGCCACTTCCCAGGGTTTTCCCTGCTCCATTTTCGGCTCTCTCAGTTGACTATTCGAATCATTTGGTTATGTAGCTTTGGCTCTATAGTGTCACTACTGACTTTCTTGCTGGCCTGCTTGGCGCTTTTAATTGCCCGAGTCGTATGCATACGCAGTGCCAGTGGCGATACACGCGCTCCATGATTGCCTCTTTATGGCTGCGACGTGCACAAATTGATAATAATTCGCACAGAGGTGTGAGGAGATGGATATACCAATCGCCGGATCGCTGGAGTAATGCCACCGTATCGGCGGTAGAAAGTGTGAATAGACCACAAACAAATAGCACCACTTCAACCGCAAGGCGTTTTTGGGTGGAGTCTTACATAAGAATATCTGGCTGCTAGTAGTATTCGCCTCCTTGTTTCCAAATGTTTATTTGCCTCCGCTTCTTAGTCTTTCTTTGGCGGCCTTTTTTTCCATCTCTGCCAAAGTTGTGACCCTTTGGTTTCGTTATTGTTACATAAAAATAAAAGTGAAAATGACCGCACTTGATGTGTGCGCATGTTGTCTTGGATGAATGCAAATAGGTGTTAATGTACGAGCTAATGGTTATTTGTGTGTTTATTAACGAATGTATTTATAAAGCTTGTAAGAGTTGACCTTTTATTTAATCAGTGTTTACTATGATGTATGCAATTATCAACTTAGACAACAAATGCTAAATGAATGCATCTTTTGCGCAAGAGAACTGTCTACGGCAGCAGACGAATCTTTAATTTTTGCCCAAAAAGTAAACAAATAATTTCTTATTTTCCTTGCGAATATTAATAACTTAAAGCTATACTACTCGTTCTCATATTTCTGAACATATTAACTTCTGAGACTTAAATTTATTCAAATGCACATAGTCGTAGGTGTTTATCAAGTCTCACTTAAGTTTGGTACACTTGCCTGTGGTTTTTTGGTTGGTATATTTGTGGCCGCTGATTTGGTTGTCCAGTAGCTGCAGTTGCTCCGAAGCTGGAACGGATTATTTATTTATTTTTTCTGTGGTGTGGCGGCTTCAAACTGAACGCGACTGCCTGCCACTTTCCTTTGTCTCACTCACGATTACCATGACTGCTGTTGCCGTCTTTCATCTTTCAAAACGGCAACAGATAATGCAAAAAAAAAAAAAACAAAAAAAAAACAACAAAACTAACAGACAAAAAATAAGGGACAAAGTACGATTTATTGCACTGTTATTTCTTTTTCAAGTGATAATTGTCCAAGGCGATTTCGTTTCACTACCGATCACTGAAATATTTATATACCGTACATATATCTGTGATATATATTTTGCCGCTCACTGCGAAACGCACGCCACGAGCTCGTCTTGTTCAATGAACAATTCGCTTTTGGGTTTGCTTTTGGCCACATTGGACTGGCTGAAGACGGCCAAGATGATGAAGAAGTAGCTTTTCGTACGGCCTTCGCAAGCTTTTCCCTCGCACTCCAAAATGATAACAACAACTTATATCCGTTGAGTGCAAGTCGAAGCACAAACAAAAGTCCGAGCTTCAGGCCCGCAGAGAGAGTTGAAAGCAGAGGGAGAAATATCCGTAAAGCTGCTTACAAAATGGGTACACCGAAAAAAAAATGAAACCTTAATATTCAAACAGCTATTTAAGGTTATATAAGATATTAAATCAGTACGAACATCTAACGATTTTTCCCTACTTATTTGTTCTCTGGAGCGAGCTAATTGCATTACGATTTTTACTGACTTTAAAATTAGTTTCAGTGCAAATCTAAAACTTGCATTTGTTAGTTTGGTAACATATTTTGGGCATACAGTTTTTTTACAAATTATTTTCAGTGACTTACCATGAGAAGACGGCACTTTCGATTTCGTTTCCATTTCATGGGGCTTCGACTCGGCTGTCTTCGGGTTTTGTCATTGAGCTACGTGCTCCATTCAACGTTTGTATTACCATTGCAAAAGCTTTTGGGAACTGTGTAGAACAGGACGGGGATACCGCTTCAGAAAGAGAGAGGGCGATGCATTGGGAAAAGAGAAGTACGTCGGCCAGTTTTGGAGGCTTTCTTTGGCTGAGCCAAAACTGCTCGCAGCGATCATCGCCAGCGATTTACAAGTCTGGCAATTGACTTAACGTTTTATTATTCATGATTCCCAATTCAAAAGTTGAGCGTTTAACTGGGGCCCCAATAGCAACAAGGCCATACAGATCGGCACCGAGATGGAGATTTCCGGTTTGCTTACTCGTACTCCATACCATTCCATTTCATTTGACAAGCGATGCAATCGAAGGGTAAAAGTGCCCGATACCGAATTTATTAGGAGTACTTGTGCCTGGGGAAAAGATCAGAGTATTGCGATATCACTGTTTACAGCTTGAAATATGTACATAGGATTTGTGGATCAACAGGAATTGCATATAAGACAGTTAGACTTAAGATAGTTCAGAAGTATATTTTTCATATTTATTTTTTTAATACATTTAATTTTTAAAATCTATTACTTCCCCCTGTCGATTCCGCCTGCCAGCGGGAAACCCACTACCCACTCCAAATAAATGCATTCACATTAGCTCCATTCATTAGCCAAGTCAACGAGTTGAGCCACTCTGTGAAACCTGCGACCTCTGGGGGCATTATCAGGTGCAATTGCCCCTGCATTGAACTCTATGCAAAAACAGAGACGGAGACCGAAAATAAATAAATACGAGGGGTGAGCAACGTGCTTTTTTTTGTATTTTCGCCAGCGGAGCGGCGCAGCTCGTTGTTCCGCTGCGAATGCAAATATATTTTTGCATGTTGCCGGCTTCCGACAACCAGGCCAAAAGTTAGGCTAAAGAGCCGATTTCGAGCTTGACATTGCACTGGGAACAATGGTACACCAAACTATCTTTTATTTCATATTTTTATAATTAGCACGGTTATAACTTATATTCGTGTTAAGATCTTAGACACTTAAATAAGGGCGACTATTAAAGTTTTTCGTCCGAAATAGTAAGAATTTAACCAAGTTGTGATTATAACAACCATCTTAGATGTGTAATTTTTATTTTTCTCTTTTTCCTTCTAAAAAAATCCTCCCTTAAATTGGAAATAATGGTCCAAATATGGAATGTCATACTTTGTTGAGCTCGTAATATTTAAATTATTAAAAATTATTAATTATTTTAAATCCGCCAAAACGTGATGAGCGATTTTTGAATTGGTAATAAGTTCTACAAATCAGTTTTTCTTTTATCTCTATGACCATTTCTAACCAAATTATGTATAAAGAGCCTTTTCTAAGTATCAAATTTTTGACTACGTTGTTCCCAGTCTAAAAGAGGTAAGAATAATGGTCAGTCTCAAATAAAATGTGGAAAACTGCATAAATTGTTTCCAGTGCCGCATTTCGTGGGGGCAAAAGTGGATAGGTTTGAAATGGAGCAGCTGGGAAAGGAAAAGGGGATCGTGGGGCCTGAGAAGCCGCCGGTGGCGGGCAACTTTCATTTTCGTTCAGATGACTGTAAAATTTTGGACGGTCATTGCTTTGCAGCATAAATATTTATGCGTTGCACTTGAGAGCGCTGCAATTGGAATTGAAATCGGAATCGGGGCCTTTATGTTGGGCCTATAGTGCTGCACACAGGTGGAATCTAGTTAGGCATGTGGATCAGATTTATGGCCGTCTTCCGCGACCCAAGTGCAAAACAAAAAAAATGCTAAAGAAAACGCTGATGGGGATATCTATGGCAAAAAAAATAAGCAGTACCTGCGGCAATTAGCCAGGCACACAACGCCTTGATGTGTAGTGCATTTTGTTAACAAATTATTTTAGCCGACCAAAATGCATTATTTAATTGGGAATTATTTATTATACCTCTACGCACCGCTAGCTACTGTGATTGCTCACCATTAGAGGCGGACTAATTGCAATCATCATCGGCTGTAACCGAAATCGTAAATGAAATTGTAAAAATGCTATTAATTTGCCGAAGGGTGATCATGATCGCATTATGGCATTGGCATTAACGCACCTAACCGCATCAAATTACTTAGATCCGCTGGAAAATATCCGTTCCGATGTGGAAAATGAGGAACTGCATTGGTTATCGGCTTGCGTAACATTTCCTTGCTCATTTCTGAGGACTGATATGCTGCTAGTACATAGGTGTCTTGCACAATCCAATAAAATCGCAATTCAAATGATTTAATCCATTAGATATTTATGGAGGAGTTTCCTTTAGGGCAGCTATTCGACATTTGGAATTATCAGCTCCATTTTCTTAAGTGGCATTTGTGTACTTAAATTGTCATCTGTTAAATTGATTGATATGTTTAGCACATGTTCTGACAAGAAGTGGAATAAGAGATGGTAACTTATATCTTTATCTGAGCACTTTTAATGGTGGGACTTAAAAAAATTAGTTTAGCTTGCCTATTTTAGCTCGGTTAAAGAAAGTCTTCAGCTTTCTCAAAGCTCTCAAAATCGTAAGCCTGCTTTTTAGCCGACTTTACAAATGTTAAGCTTTCATTTGAAAATATTTGCTTACTAATAATCTCTGTTGATATCTTTCATTACAGGTAAGCTTTGGATAAGCTTTTGATGGTGAATTTCAAACTGTATCTTAATAAAAATTTGTGAGCCCGGTGTCAAACTGTAAGTTGCCGGAATATACCTTGCACTACAAACTTTAAGCTATTACTTTCAAACTTTCGACTGATTTTTAGACCAAATAGTTAAGTGTGCAAAGTAAATAAATCAAGTTGGGTTAAAGGGATTTTTCGTGTATACTTAATGTGAAATGAACTGAACCAGTCTTTATTATCTTCATGAAAGCAACGCTTGAGGTAAAATTAGTTTTATTCGTTTTATTGGTATTCTATACATACTTTTAAGAACTAACCAAACATTTGCATCGTAATCGTAAACTTCGGCTTACGAACTAATTGAGGTACTCCAAGTGTACGCGGCGTCAAACAAACAATAAAAGTAAAACAAAAAATACACATTTCGATTGGACACACACAACAGACGAGCGATATTAAAAAAAAATTTAAGAATTAGCATAAATGACTCGATATTTACATGAAGCGCTTAAATGACTACGATCATGGGTGGAGCAGACAGGGCTTCCTTGCGAAGAATGGTTATTGTAATTCATTTATTCTTTTGGCTACAGAGCGAAAAACAGTGACAATGAGCTGAGCAAGTTGAGCTTAATAAATTAAATTTATTTAGAAGGCGGAAATTTGTGCTAACCCCCCTCCAACTGATGAACCAAACACACCCCAACAAACCCCACCGCACCCGATTGATCCCTTTGAAACCCCCCTCAATTTCAATAGCTACGACCTTGGCAGTGGCCATTGATGTACAGATGATGTTCCAATGTCCAACTTTTCACTGGCTTCCGTTTCTGGTTCCGTTTCCGTTTCGGTTTCCGTTTCTGTTTCCGTTTCCGTTTTTGTTTCTGTTTCCGTTTCCGTGGAGTTCAATGATCGTTTACTCCGCCACTGGGTTCGTGGTGGTGGCGCTGGGCTCGTGCTGTGACCTTGACGCGGGCTCGGCCCCTGACCTTGAACGCCCACGGGCGCCGTGGTGGGGGTAAGCCACAGTTGCTTTATCATATCTGCACCCTTCTCGCCGATCATCACCACCGGCGCGTGGATATTGCCATTCGTAATGGCCGGCATTATGCTGGCATCTATAACCCTCAGTCCGGGTATGCCATAGACCCGCAGCTGGGGATCCACCACTGCCCAGGGATCCGTTGGTGGTCCCATTTTGGCCGTACCACTCATATGGTATATCGTCATCGTGTACTGCCTGATGAAGCAGTTCCAGTAGTCATCGGTGTACAGGTTCAGGTGCTTACAATTCGGCACTGGTTTGTTCCAAAATCGCGCTCCGAATCTCTTCATCGCCTGGGTTTCACCCATGGCCACCGCCGCCTTGACGCCCTCCCTCAGAACATTGACATCATCCGGATGGGTGAGGTAGTTGTGATACAGCAACGGATACCTGAGGGGATTCTTCGAGGCCAGCTTGATGTAGCCCCTGCTCTTCGGTCTCAGCATCATGGGGAAAATGCCAAAGACATCGCGATTGTTGACCTCCCCAAACACCTCCTGGTAGAACTCATCGGTTAGGCCGTGGGCCGTCTTCACCTGGCTGCCGCCATCGGACATCACCGATGCCGAGGTCATCATAAAGTTCATATCGGGCCAATCGTCACTGGCATTGGCGTATTTTGTATTAATAAAAGCCACCGCCTCCAAGCCAATGCTGGAGGTCAAAGGACCATCCTCTGTGATGGCATACCTCAGTGCGGTATTGATATTGACCATTCTCTTCATCACAATCGATATGGGATAGTCGATGAGGAAGGCAATGCCGCCAACGGCAATGTGATCCTGCAGATTCTGTCCCACGCCCGCCAGATGTTGCACCAATGGTATGCCCACTCTGGCCAACTCATCGGCGTGTCCAATACCCGATAGCATCATCAGATGTGGCGATCCAATGGCTCCGGCCGACAGGATCACCTCCCTGGTGGCATACACATTTTGCAGCCTTCCATCTCGTATAAACTGAACTCCAGTGGCTCGTTTCGTATGCGGATCGGTTAGGACCTTGGTGACATGCGAAAAGAGTGCCACATGCAGATTGGGTCGCAGGCGAGCTGGTCGCAAAAATGATTTGGCCGTGGAGCTGCGCGAACCACGTCGCATGTTGAACTGATAGAAGCCGAAACCCGTCTGTTGTTCTCCATTCACGTCCACGATGTCGTAGCCCATTTCCTCGCCAGCCTGCAGAAATGCTGGTCCAATGGGCGTGTTGTACGGCGAGTCCTGGACGGTCCAAAGGCCACCTGAAAACAAGATATTATTTATCAATTTCATACTGCGAAATATTGAGAATAAATATCCTTCCATTTAAATAGCCTTCGACTTACCTGTGCCATGGTAGCGCTTGTTCCTGGCCAAGTAGGGATTCCGCTGATCCTCAGACTTCCGGAAGTAGGGCAGAATCTCCTCGTAGGACCATCCGGGATTTCCAAAATCCGCCCACTGGTCAAAGTCTCGTTTGTTTCCCCTGATGTACAGCATTGTATTCAGCACCGAACTGCCGCCCAAGACTTTTCCTCTCGTCCAGCAGCAGCGTTTGTCCTTCATTGCCTGACAAGCTGTCGGCTGAGGTTGGGTGCTGTAAAAAAATACACATAAATATATTGTAGATTAGAAAACGAAAGAGAAAGAAGGTGAAAATCTTCAAAATTGGCTTATTGAAATAGCCGTGTAGTAGCCACAAAGATTTCGACTGGGGTGAAAACAATTAGCGAATCTGGCCAAGACCAAACAAGCTGGGAGAGATATCCGATTACTTTTTTTGTGGCAAGTCAACAAAAGCGACAATGAAAGCGCATTAGTCCCAGAGGTGCCACGCCCACTCCCCCGAAAAAAAAGGGGCAAAAATTTTGGTAAATTGCCCAGTGGCCAACTTAATTACAACACAAACCCAAAGCCGGTGTTAAACGCTCATTTGGACAAAAACTGAGAAATATCTATGAGGCAATGAACCGAGCGACCTCCCCTTCGTACTTTTGCCCTTTAAGTTGCTTTAAATGGTATCCATGAGTATGAGTATCTACGAATGGCATTTAAAGTGTGGATTGTAGTACTGCGGAGGTTGCGGATATGTTGCTCAAGCATGGTTAAAAACACCACACAGCTAAAAACAGGATTAAGATAATAAAATTTATGGTTACTTTAAAAGCAAATTGAAAATAGTAAAAATTTTATAAGTAAAAAGCATAGGTCGATAAAAGTTTTAATTACTTGAAGGTATAAGAAAGATGCATAGCCAGACAATCTAAACAGACAATAATTCAAATGTATTTCTTAAGAAATAGTGTCCTAAATATTTCGAGTTAAAAGTTCATCATAGGAAACATGCAGTTTGTTTTATTTCTGTATAGAAAATAGGAAATTTAACTGCATAAAGTAGAAATCAGAGGAAAGAAATGTAAAATATTAAAAAAAGGGGCGAACAAAATTAAAAAACACACGATTATTTCCACCCAGCAATTTCGAGCACCACCAATTAGCGGATATCCCAGTTGAAGTTACGCATTTGTTAAGATAATAATCTCATTGCAAAGTTCCCAGCATTATTCGCATTTTCTCCTGCCGTGAGTGCAGCCAATATAAACCGACAAATTGGCAAACAAAACGTTTTGTTTTATTGTCTCTTTTCATCTTAGCTCTTCCGAATCTAATAAACCGAAATTCCTTTTCTTTTGGGTGCCCATTATACCCGCTGCTAAACACATAGGAAGACATTTTTGTCTTGTCGTTAATGAAAATACAAATTACCAGTGACAGGCAACAATCAAGACGCGACTTAGCCAAGTTAACTAAGCCACGTTCGGCTGAGAAACCGGCGACGACGAAGAAAACAAACGGAAATCAAAAGTCAGTTGCGGAAAACTTGATCAGCAATGATTTTACTTGGCTAACATGGCGTGCTGCGGGGCGAAAAGCGAAAAGCGTGCCAAAGCCAAGGAGAAAGAGAAAGAGTTTAAATTTAATAAAATAATATAGTTGCCACGAAGTTGGTGATACCCTTTAACATTCAAGCTAGCATAATCGCCTTTAAAACTAAGCGCATACCTTTTTACAGCCAGAAAATTGTCTCGCGAAACTTCCCTTTCCTATATTCGATCTTGATTAGACGAATTTATTTTATTTAAAATAATAATTCATAATTCCCACTTAGCTGAATTTTAGTCGGTGGATTAGTGTTAATTGTCCATTATTCACTTGTCTTTTTGAATACACTTGCCTCTCTTGCGGTTAGGGTGTCAAACCTGTCCCTGCATTTTATTTATTTGTGTCTTTTTATATTAGTTAGAGGTTGAGCGATTAGGGTAGGGGTATGCGTAATTAGCATACGACATGCACATATTGGACCTCTGATTTATGCTGCCCAGATCGGTGATGAATAGGTAGATAGGGCTAACCCCTCGTTGACGAGCCATTAATATCGATTCGCGCCACTGTAGCCCCACTGTGGCACATTGTTTGGCATACTGACTTATTGGCTACGTGCTGCGGCCATTTCTCATAGATACCAGAGGTAGTACAGGTGCAACCATACATCGAAACCCACAGGTAAACAAAATTGAGAGGGAAAATAAGAAAAGAAAAAACTTTCGCCTCAACTTCGGCCTTCCACTGTGCGAGACGCCCAACTGACGCAATTTGTTTGCTTTTTATTTGCCATTTAACAGTTAACTCACATAAACGTAACAAATTATTATTAACTCATTTCGCTTAGTTACTTGGGTTTTTTGTGGGTGTGGGCGTGTACATCTTGTCCTAAAGGCAATTGTTTGAATTTTGGTAACGATTGGAGAGTCCTTTCAGCGGAAATCAAACTATTTCATTGATTTCAGTCACTGTTTGGCTAAAATAATATATTTATTATATGACAATGATAATTATTATTAGGCTTCAACACACATTTTAAAAAGTGATCTGCAAAAGATCATCAAAAGACATTAGTGACATAATGTTAACTATTTAAGCTACAGTGCGTTTCTTTCGATGAAGCTGGTACAGTTCAGGGTTATTTATTTATATTTTATTTGTGCATATATATTTTCTTTTTCTTTTTGCAAAAACCTAGAAACAGTGGATTTAAACGCGCATTAGGGACATTCGACGTGCTCAACAATCATAATTGCCGCTTATGAAATGAATATGCATGCCGAAAATTCGAGTTGATTGCATTATTTTCGTAATTGTTTAATGCTCGTTAGCCGAAAGTTGGTTAAGGCCCCACAGTAATTCCCCAACCCAAGAAGCCAACAAAATTTAAGGGGAAACGCATTCAGATGGAACTGCTGTTGATTGCCATATAAAATCACTTAGCAGCCGCATTAGGTTGTAAAACGGTTTCATGCGATTTATTAATGGAAATGTTTTTATTAATTAAAGCAATGGCTGAGTGAAATGTGGGAAAAATGCTTAACAGTAAATTCCACAGCCATATTTATTGTTTCCATTATTTTACTACTATTTTTCAAATCTCTATCAGTTGCTTTAAAATATTTGCTGTACATTTGTATTGGCCATACAGCTTATAAACAATAGTTCGACGTCCTAAACATAAATGCATATGTGACTAATAATTTTCCACTTTACATAATCTGTCCATTGGTGTATTGGTGTTAATTAGATTAACAGCAAATATTTGCGATCCGTCTGGTGTCACAACAAGTTTCATGTGTTCGATTGTGTAAACTCAAATGAAATGAAATATATCCATAACCATATCAATATTTAGTGTTGATCGGTGATTCTTCATTTTGGGCAAACGTGGTGTGCAGTTGTTTTGTTTTCTACTTGGTTTTTTATCGCCCGGTTGACACAATTCGAGGTACGAGACACTTGTCTCGAGTATAAAAACCCACCGAAGCCTGTCCATTTAACCGGCTCACGTATAAGCCACTCTCCTCGCCGATTTTTAGTGGCTTTTGGCGATTGGCAACCCGGCTATTCAGGTGCAATTGCCAGGTATCAGCCCGTTTCATTTCATTTCATTTCAGCTCGTTTCATTCGCTTCGTTTTGTGCCATTTCCATGCAGACCTGCGGCCGCCTAACCCACTTTACCATACTATACCATGCCATACTAAATCACACTATACCATACCTATCGTAGCAACTGCAATACAATCCGGTTTTATGTTGGGAAATTGGACTGGACCGGCGTAGGATATCCCGATCTCAGAATATACACTGCGAGAAGTGATGTACAAACTTATAGGGTTCTAAAAAGGAAGTTTCCATAAAAGATGAACAAGATTTTCCACTTTCTAGAGAAGCTACTTCAACATATTGTTTTCATCACCATATTATAGTATAATGAGTCGACGTTTTTCTCTTCAATTTGTATATTTATGTTCCATAAACTGCTATCCGCTTGCAGTTTGCATTCGAATTCGTCAGGGGTGTGTCTCCACTGTGAATGCCAAAATATCTCTGGCATTAACGATCCCGAGGAGGGAATTTAATGATGCGGATAAGACTGGGGGTCATCGCCAACTCGACTTGCGTAATCCCCAAGTGGAATGCAACACAGATGAGAGATGGGTTGCTTGCGGGGGCTAACGAGTCAGGTTTTGGGGGCCCTCCATGCCACATTTTCTCCCACCCAACTGGCTGCTTGTTTACCCTGTAGAACCATTATTGGTTTTAGGCGGCGCCTACTGTGCTTGGCTGCGAAGTTGAATACTTTGAAATGACTTGGGTTATGAAATATTTGGCGGCAAGCTGTAAACTTTTAGGCACTTATCCTGCAATCGCAAACGAAAGTAGGTGGTTGCAAATGTATTTTTGTTTTATTATCAGTGCCGCAAGAGTTTTGGCAGTATTTTAAAAAATGTTGGCAAAGGGACTTGGGTGTTTAAAAACTCTAATTAACTGTCACTCTAATGATCGTGTTTCCACGACCTTGAACTCCACAAATTTGACACTGAATCCAAGCAGATACCAAACTGATGACACCAATTCAGTGACTTTCTCAGCTGGGTGAAACTTTTAAGCCCATGAGTGAGTCAATCAAGATTACCGGCGATGATTGACGTGAGAGTGATTGTCGAGTCTCTGTCTCTTTTTTCCTGTCCAACTCAGATTCAATTTCGTTGCAGTCTGCAGACTGAATTTCCCGTTGCTTGTAAAGCGGTTTTCGAGTGTCGATTTTTGAACACATTGCACCCAAAACAAACTACACTCACACTTTTTCAGATACTTTGCTCTCTGTAGATCCAGCTGATTTGAGTTGGTAGCGCTGAGATACAAAAATGCAGATACTGCTACCGACTCTCCCGAGTTCGCCAATGATGCAATGATTCAGAAACACACTCGATTATATTGCCACACTCGATGCACTCAGTTTGGGTTTTGTTTTTGTGCACTGAACGATATTTGGTTATTATGTGAAACTAGAATTGAATTGTTGGTTATTATGTGGAACTAGAGTTGAATTTGTGTTACAATCAAAAAATGAAAATTGCTTACATTTTTAGATATTGCAGTTTTTCTTTTAGTTTATAACTTTAGTTTACACTGAAACTGGATATTAGCATAATAATCTAATAGCGTAATGTGTACTTTTTTCGCGGTGCTTACATTGTTTACTCGATTTTGCACCCTATGATTTATTTCGCATGCACTTAACCGCATATTGCATTCAATTATGCCAAAATCTAATGGAATGGGAATATGAATGGAGAAGAAAAGGAAAGGTAACGAAAGACAATACAAGAGAATTGGAATACTAATGGAATTGGAATTCTGAAAGTGAAACTTTAAGCCAAAACGCGAAGAAGACCCATAAAGAAAACCGAACCAATAAATCGCCGCTAGGCCTATAGACCCAACCCAAAACACCCAGCCCTCTGTCACATTAAACAGTTAAATAGATTACGGTATTGGTAACACGCTCGGACAAAATTCCAAGAAAAAAAACCAAAAAAAGACAAAGCTCATGAATAATTGAGCAGTAAAGTTCGATTTGTTTATTTGGGAGCCGGTGGCCACAGGTGGCCGTGGATCACCGGCATCAGCTGTTACTAATGAAATGCCGTGAGATAGAAAACGATCTGAATGAAATCAGAGGAACCCACCCCAAAACCGAAAAAAATGCAACAAATTTAGAAGCCTCAGGTTCAAAGGGCCTGCCTAACGGTAGCCCGTTCTAATTCGAATCAGCCTCTCAGAAGCACTGATCATTTTCCATTTATTGTTAAGACGAAATTTTCGGTTAATAGATGCTCAAACCGCCATATAAAGCCGCACTTAATTGCTATCTGAAAGCGAGACACAAGCACAAAAAGCTGGAAGATTATCCATCGAGATGATACTGCTAAATGGTAATGGTCCACGTTTGACTTTATCTAATTGGAACATTCTGGATGGAGGGGGGTGAGCTGGGAAATGAAAGTGGCCGAGGAAAAGTGAAAGATACGAGTTCCCAGATCCGAGAAATGAGATCTTTGGAGAGCAGAAGCCACAAATCAAGAGAAATGCAATGAAAACTGTTGTAAAGTAATTGGTGTTAATGGTGTTATGAGAAGAAAATGTCTTTCAATATGCTGAAAAAAGATGGATCTAGTGAATGATGAGCACTGGGACTAGAATAATACCATTCTGTTGAAAATAAAACTATATTAAAATACTATCTTATATGCTTCATGAATTCTGGCACTCAACTCCTAATGCAATTTTTGTTAGGTGCTTTTAAGGAGCCATTAAATATTTCCCAGAAACTAATTCCAACATGTCGCTTTTCCTGTAAATTCGACGTGAGCAAATCGTATAAGTCAGTGCATTTTCCCTTTCTTTTCGACGAGTGCTGAAATCGGTTTACTGTTTGCGTGTGAAAAGAGCTTGCAAATAGTCTGAAATTTGGCAGGCGGTTGCTAACTAAACGAATCCGGCCTTTGGCACCATCATATCATCATCATCGTCTTGGTCGTCTGAACCCGCAACCCATTCAAGTTGAGCTGTCTATTTGGTCTATTCCGAATACTAATGACTACAGCTCATCGATGCAGATTAGCATATGGACAGAATTCGTGGCCAGCTTTTGGAAAAATGGCAACGTCATTGAGATGAGTTGGCCAAAAAAAAAGGGCGCAAACAAAGGGCAAGCCCGGCCACTGCTAAGGCCAACTATTTGGCCCAGTAAAGTAATCGAAAAATACTTGAGTGAGATAAGGAAGTAACCTTTTATATATGTACTTGAAACAATTAAAATTTAGAAAAAATTATAAATATGATGAGGCCAAAAAGTCCAAGATTTATGCATTTGAAAAAGAATTACCGGACAACAATAACCAACCAATTGGACTAACAATCTTTTTAATGTTTAAAAGTGTATAGATTCTAAAAAGTTGAGTTGAATTTGTGTCTAAATGAAAATGAAAATGACTCACCGATACTTCCAATCCATTTTGCTTTTATGCAAATAGAGCGACAGCAGCGGCACATCGGAGATCTCCGTCTCATGGCCACCGGCCTCCAGGAGCAGGATCTTCCAGTGCGGTATCTCCGAGAGTCTGGAGGCCAACACAGTGCCCGCCGAACCGCCACCGATGATGATGAAATCGTAGGCCAGCTCCACTTGCTGCACATTAAAGGGTCGATTCTCCGGATCGAAGAGATCGTAGTTGTAGTAGGCAATCGCCGCTATCAGGAAGGGCAGTATGGTCAGTTTTCCAACGCCAATTACAGCGGTGGCCAGTTTGATAGCGCCGGCAATGGCCAGGCCCAATTTGGAGGCTCCTGCCGCGGCCACGCCCGCTGCCGCCGCCGCCTTGGAGGCGGCACTCGCCTTGAAGAGCAGACCGCCCACGGAAACGGCGGCGGCGCCTAGAGCGGGAACTACAACCATGTTTTTGGGGGAGGAGAATCGGTTTACTAGGTGGAAGGTTTTTCAGGGAAGGATTCCGCTTCCTTTCTTGAATTTCTTTGGGCGTTTCCTTGGGTTTAGTTCCGCTTTATTGCTGTGACTGCATTGCGGCCACTTTTAGTCACTATTTTTGCATTCACTATCAAAGCACACGGAGAAAAAAACATCACAATTCGGTCATTTCAAATATCTCATGTATTGAAAAATCAAACGTTAAAATGGAAATCGAAGTGTCATTAATGTTGAGAAATTCGATCTTAAGAACAATACGACAATTTTTTTCCATAATATTTGAAGTTTATGGAGTAAATAATGAGTTTTTTAGCGTTTTTCGCTTTTTGTGGACTATATTGTGATGTTTTCTCTCTGTGCCATTGTCACGTTCGCATTCACAGTCACTTGCCTTTCTGCACTTTCATTTAGGCCTCGTAAACACATTGAGCAAACAGAAACAAAAATAAATAAATTGTAATTGAAATAGTTAGTTGGGCCGCGCGCGCTGATTTTGGTATCGGTTATGGGTAATCGTGCAACGGAAAATGGAAAATGGATAATCGGTTAACCGGTTCACTGGATAATTCGCCTCGCCAGCCCGTTTCGTTTGTTTTAGGCCTTCCGCCTCGCTTGGCAGTCGCTGCGTTTCTGAGCCACAAAAGCCGCTGGCCTGCGACGTTTTGTCTCCGCTGCTGCAGCGCCGGCAGAGGCGGTAGCCGTGGCAGAGGACGCCGGCGTCGCTGCCGACAATCGGTTGCGCATGCGCACGTTTTTTCTCCAACGAATCCAACTGCATTTTCCGCGGCAGCTGAGTTTTAAAAACAGTTTTGATCGCGAACATTAGCACATACATTTAATTGGGTTTCATTCGCTGGTATTCGCATTTTTAAATCTTATTTCTTTTATTATTAGTCTGAAATTTTTATCGTATCCTCAAAAAAAATCAAAATGTTCTAAGTGGTTTGTACAAACTATATTTAATTTATTTATTAAAACTGAGAATTGGGACTTTTTTATTTTAGGATTTAGAAATCGTTTAAAATCTTTAACCGTTTCAACTGCCTATTCTCTCCGTTTCGCTTTGCGGTTGCGCCTGCGCTACCGATTCGCGAGCCTCTCTTTCGCACTCTCCCACACGCACCACCACATCGATATTCGCATTCACAGTCACATGCATATGCGATGCGGTTGCGGTTGCGGTTGATGGCTGATGCTGTGCATTGCGAAACGGTTACAATTAACCGCTTGCAGCTCCTGCCTCTCGCTCACACACACATGCGAAGATGTATCTGACATTTGCGGTTTTTTCCTTCAGCACCGCCTCTGCCTCTGCCTCTGCCTCTTTCTTTTTTCTTCTTCTTCTTCGATTTCGAATTTCCTTGCAGACGCCAGACGACCTTCATGCTCACTTTACGGTTATGTGCACTTCTCTCCGCGAACGATGGGCTCGATTTTGAGGCCGAATTTCGGGTTCCAACTTCGAGTTACTGCGGCAGTTGAATAGTTGGGATTGCGCACGTAAGCCTTTTAAGCAAAGACGTCGACAAGATGAACAGTCGAACTTCGATAACTGCAAAGTTTAAGCTACACCATATGTTTTTTACCCGATACTATACAATTCCGCTTCGTATACCGTTTCCTTAGCAAGGAATTGAACCATAACCGATTCACTTAAATAATTTCTGGATTTTCATAAATTTAACGTTTTGTATTAAAAATTTGCGTAAACATATGGAAGTACAATTACAGCTTATTTGTGTAAAAACCAATTGAATTATATATTAAAAGAGTTTTTCTTTTCATTTAATATTTGTTGTGCCCTTTACGCAAGGGTTCATACATAACTTTAGTTGGATACTTAATCTTCACTGTACTTACAATACATTATCGACTTTAAGTTCGACTTGGAAAGACAGCTGGCAGAAGAACCACAAACAATTGACCAGTTTTTGGCATTGAAGAAGCCGACGAGTTGAATAAAAAAGCGAAGATCAAAGTGAAATTAGTGGCATTTAGAGTTTTCATTGTCTAGCCGGTTTGTCTTATTTCGATCAGTGTGTGGTTGTGTGTATTTGCCAATTGACAACCACAACACGATTTTTGCCAAGTAATTGTCATTACATTACATTACACACCTGATATCGAACGGATATTCAACGCAACTAGTTTGTGCCATTAATCGACATTCAATGGAACCACCAAAATTGCTTCAATTTCTGCCTATGGGGTGATGTTTTTGATGGTGGTCCCGAAAAACCCCAAGTTATGTGTTTCGTGGGGCTATAGAAAGCCATGTTTTTGCATTCCATACAATTTCCTGGTTGCATTTGCATTGTTATACAATGTGATATCCGGGAAGGATTCAGGCGAAATGGGAACTATTTTCTGTTGTAATAATCTAAATGGATTTTATACGATAGAAAATAACAAAGCGGCCGCTTTATTATTAATTGTAGTAATCTAATAAATTTTAAACGATAGAAAATAGAAATGTTGTCTTACATGAAATAAATGTATATTTTTAAATAGAAATTGATACTAAAACAACGGTTGTACAACAGGATGTATGAGCTATAAATTTTAAAAATATTTTCCCAGAAACATAAAGGTATTATTTCTTAGCTTTTTGTGTAGTTTATCTTATTGGTATCTCTTGGTATTATCTATGGTCAGTTATCTTGGGTTGACACTCTTTTAGTGTTTACTAGAGCATTTCCCAATTGTCCAGTCCCTGAGACCGAAACACTTGAACCACTTCCACCTGCAACTGGAATGACGAAAGTCTCACACACAATATAATGTCCGCAAATTAACGGATCCGCGATGATGTGACGATCGTTTGATATATCACCATCTAATGGGGCAAGGTCAGCTCAAGCAATTTAAGCAGAGTTTTCCATGCGAATGTCGGGGAAACTCCGCGCCCCCCGCCCAAATAAACAAATAAAACTTGACAATAAAAGGCACAAATAAACTTGTCAAACTTTTTGCGACGAGTGTGTCTTGCCGGCTTTTGTTTTGGTTTCTTCTTTGTATTTTTGTTTCTAACTCGATGTCTTAGGGCCTCCATTGGTCAAGGGCTATACTTCAATGATCATGAGAAGTGACCTTCTTGAAGGGAGGCCTTTGCACTTGATAAATTAAAGCCGCTCTTACCAAATAAATTACACTCTAATGAATACTAATGCATCATAATGGCCAGAAAACACTTTCGGTTCCCAGGCTTCTGTGCATATTTAATCAACGATTTCCGCTACAATTACAATTAGTGTTACCATCTGGTTTTACACACACGAGCTTTCTGGCGTCACGGCGGACAATTTCCGGCACTTACCACTTTTCATACAAGTACTACCTATGTGCTAGACGCCCATGCCAGACGCAATATTTCTTTTGGGCCAATTGCCCAATCAACAAACAAATTTATGCTCGAGGGCAATTAAAAGTGAAAATAGAAGAGGCTCCGAACAAATAAATAAAGCAAAGTTGGGTAAAGCGAAGAGGCGTCTTCTCCCCTTTCTTCTGGCCTATGGTTGGCCCAGAAGAAAGCCCCTGTTGGGTGACATAACAATTACGCATCCCCATCCCCCCATTTCAGCCCCTTGAGTCCAACCATGACTTTGTCTTTTAGCTGAGTCATCCACATCGGTATCTCCAACTTGCGCGCTGGAAATGAACTTCATTAAACGACAAATGCAGAAACGAAGCCATGGAGTAATAGCAGCAAGTGAGCCAAGTACTCGTAACTCCCATAGAAATGGTATCGTGACACGATTCTGCAAATCGGACATCTTTAAATTCCTTTAATACGTAAATAATACACACATTCAATCAGATAAGCCCTAAGGTTTAATGCTAATAACTTAATTCTTTATAGAATGTTCTCTTATAATTCAAACTGAATACCTAATGTTTTCTCAAACTTTGGAGCTAAAATGCCTCTTAGGCTTTGCTCCACATTTTTGAGTAATTAATTATGATAACTCGCCTCTAATTTACAATATCTAGCCGTGAGTATCCGACCGCGATCACCTCAACTCACGTCCATCTCCGATTTGTATCTCGGCTCGTGTATCTGAACAGCAGTCGAGCATGGCCGATTTGGCCGACGTGCCTAAGACTTCGAACAGATGTGTACCATATGTACGAGTGTGTACATAGATATGTAGGTTACCCGATGGGCGGTTGCCAAAGGGGGCGTGGCAGACAGTGGCCAACTGGTAGTCGGTGAGCTGACATTTCCTCCGTCAGCAGAAAATCATCCCAATCACTTGCCTCAACCGTTTAGCTTTACCTACTCGCATGTGTGACGTTGGTATTTTTGGAATTTCCCTGCGTACTCCCGCGCACCTCTACCCATTTTTCACTTTCCACGGACTGAATGTGTCAGGTATGCCATGTGCCATACCCATTATCTTGGCTTGTATCGCGAACGATTTCATCTAATTGGTTTCCATTTTGCGGTTTGGTCAAGTGCATGGCAAGAAAAAAGGGTTATTACGTGACCTTTGTTAATTGCATGAAAGGAGTGGCGAAGTGGGTGGGGGTTTTAGATAGTGCAACCTCTCACACTAAATGGAGCAATTGTTCAAAGTAGATTTCGTAATAAAACGGCTAGTATAGATGAGTCTTTCAATTTGACTGAGTTCAATGTGTGAAATGAAAAGTGTACTTCAATTCCGCAGCTAGATATCTTAATGTAAAATAAAGCCATTAAATGTCAAATTAATACCATAGTGTACATAAAAGTTAAACCTTTTTAATTAATTACATGAAAAGTCAACAGTAAAGCCAGCCAAAATCCTATAGTGAGGAATATGCAGCTTCGCCTTGTTTAAATAAAAGAAATGATTCCGATAATTTCTGTTTTCCTAACACCTCTATTATACAATTACGAGGCGTCCACCCACTTGCTGGCCAAAAGCACTTGGCCAACAATTAATTGCGTTTAGTTTGGTATGCACCGCCACGCATTAGATGAAAACCGAAATGCTCAAACAAAAACCGAAAAACTGGCACGCTTCGCGGCGCCTGGAAATATTATACATATTGCGTTGGTCGCCGGGCATGGATAATGAGTTGTCCGCAATGAGCGGCAATTTGCTGGCCGAAAATCGAAAATTATATATATATACCTAGTTCCAAAAAAATGTAAAAAGAAAAAAAGTAAAACAAAACGGCAAAATTAAAAGTGAAAGCTGTCAATCAAAACCAAAACGTAGCCAACCAGGCCGAGCATCAAGTATCGCCGAGATTCAATACAATCGCCACTTAATGGTGATGGTGCGGTTTTCGCTTTTGGCAGATAAATCATACACTCAATATTAAATTGGCAGGCATTTTTCAATATCCTGTTTTGGTAATAAAACTTAAAGAGTAACATACGGATATCTTGAATATTTCAATCTTAAAAAGCATTAAGGACAAAAAGTTGGTGGAAGCTTAAGACAGTTTGAGGGCCATTGTACATTTTAGTTAAGACGCCAACCAAGAAGTAAAAAGTTTTAAGACGTGAGTGTAGAAAATCCAAGAAACGTAGATAAGTATGTGGAGCTAGAAGCCCTTCATTCAAACCAAAAAGTCGTCTTAAAAGCGTTATAAATTAATTATACTTCTTTTGACTTAGTCAGCATCAATACCAAATCCTCCTATTATTTAAATGTCTTACTTACTGCACACGTAATGACTTTAAATGACTCAAACTTGTAACCTTCTATGTAAGAAGCATATATATTTATATTAACAAAAAAAATGTGACAAAAAGTTAAAGCTTATATCGTAAAATATCGCTGAGCTTAGAGCTCGGTGTGTTTTCCGCCCAAATACTCCTCCTTGATCATATCCGCCCCCTTCTCGCCGATCATGATGCAGGCGGCATTGGTGTTAGCACCCACAATGTCGGGCATAATGCTGGCATCAATCACCCTCAGTCCCTTGGCGCCATGGACCCTCAGTTGCGGGTCCACCACGGCAGTGGGATCAGTGGATGGACCCATGCGAGTGGTTCCGACCGGATGGTAAACGGTGGTGGTCATGTGACGGATATAGCAGCGCCAGTAGTCATCCGACTGATAGGTCAGCCCATTGCAGGCCTCCAAATCCAGTTTGTGGAGCGCGGCCTCCCGCTGACTGAAGGCTTTGGTATTCGGCAAGTTCTTGTAGATATTCAAGGCCCTGATGTAGGTGTCCACATCACGCTCATCGGTCATGTAGCCGGGATCGATGATCGGAGCATCCAAATAGTTCGTAGATTGCAGGGTCAAACTTCCCGCCGAGAAGGGCTTCAGATGCAGCAAATACGTAATGTAGGTATTGGTCTCCTGGTTGGCCGACAAGATGCTCTTGGCCACGCGATCATTGAATCCGGTGGCAGCCACATAACCCTTCAGTTCCGGACTCTGCATCAGGCTGAAGAAGTTGGTGGTCTGGATGTCCGGATTGGGTCCCTCAATCGAGGTGGTGTTGATGAATCCAGTCAAGGCGGTGGCCTCGTGGTGCAACAGTTTGCTATAACGACCCATCAGCAGGTTGTACATGGCATCCACCAGCTCCTCTTCGGTGGGCTTGCGGGCAGTGGACTTGTCGATCTTGAAGATCACCGGCAGACTGGCGTGATCCTTTAGGTTCTCACCCACGGGCAGGTCCAGTTTCACGGGAATTCCCAGGCTCTTCAAGTGATCGGCGGGACCGACGCCTGTGAAATTATTAAGTATGAATTAGTTAGGCTATTGTTTTTTACTATAAACCCTCTATAACATTTTCATATATACTTCTTTGAACAACATTTTTTTCGTTTCATATTAAAACCCTCAAATGCCTAATTAGTTTCGGTGTATCATCATAACCAGCTGTATATTCTATTGCGTATTTCTTGTTTAGAATGTTTGATATACATAGAGAAACCTGTTTCAAAGTTAAACTAAAAAACCTGCCCCATTTAAGTTTAAAATTCATGCGAATTTTGAGAACTTGTTCTTCAATAAGATTTTCTCTACAAATTCCGCTTAAACAATTTCACGAACTGATTTTTACTGTTTTTCTTTGCAGGTTTGTAAATTTTAACTATGCTGAAATACTAGCCATAAAATCTATAAGTCGTCAGCTGGAAAATTTATTATACTCCCTACTATAAGGGAAAGTACCGCACAATCGTAAAAGATTTTGTTATATCTCGCTAGAACGTTACTTTCAATATATATTTTTACTATCCCTACCGATCGGACGGACATAACCGCTTGACCTTGCTCGACCTTGCGGACCATTTCACATTGGCATCTCATCGACAAGAGGCTCCGTTGCTCGGGTCTGATATCGTATTCCGGCTATCTAATCGGCCCGATCCGCGCTTATCAAAAGTCTTTTCAGGCTTTTAGATGCAACAAACATAAACAGAAGCTAAACTAAAATCAACAAGATTTAGGGGCTTAAAGTTGGATTGAAGGATGGAAGTATATCTCACATGTGCACCGAGAAAACCTCTAATCTGCATTCGCTATCATGCTCGCATTTCCTTATTTAAATCTAGCTGTTACCAATTGCACATTGGAAAAGTACCTCGCTTTAGCCAAAAAAAAAACTATATAATAGGAGATCCGAAAAGATATTTTTATATGCTATCAAGAAATATTGGTTTTAAGATGGCACTTTTGAATAGTAGCTAATTTCACTTATCTGCATTATTTATACTATCAAAAAATACGTTCAGCACGTTAATATTTAAGGGTTTGCTGATATTTTTGAAGGTTTCCGGAGTGGACCTTTAAAGCCAAACTATTTGTATGAATACTTCAACAAGTACTTTTAGTAATGGGCACGTTCATACTGAAATCTTGTTTGACTCACCTGAGAGCAGCAGGATCTGGGGTGAACCAATGGCACCGGCGGACACGATGACCTCTTTGCTGGCCTTCACCGTGTACTCCTTCTTGCCGCGATGCACAAAGGTCACACTTTCGGCTCGGTTGTTGCGATCCAGATTGATCTTCTTGACGTGGGCGTGGCGCAGGATGTGCAGATTGGGCGTATTCTTCTTCAGATGGGATCGGGCGGTGGTGATGCGATGACCGCCATCCTGAGTGCCCAAGATGTCCATTTGGCCCACAAACGAGCCCTCGGTGAAGTCCGGAGCACTGCCGTAGCCCATCTCCTGCATGCCGGCGCGAATTGTGGTGCGGAACTCGTTGTCGGATACGTAATTGTTGAGTCCCATGGGTCCACCGACGCCATGATCGCCGGGCTTGTAATCCGGTCGCGTGGAGCGCAAATCCTCGGCCTTGCGGAAGTGCTCCAGCACCTCGTCGTAGCCCCAGCCAGGATTGCCCCTCTCCTCCCAGTCATCGAAGTCCTTGCGCGTACCTCTGGCATAGATCATGGCATTCATTCCATTCGTGCCGCCCAACATTTTGCCCCTCGGCCAGTGGCAACTTTCGCCCTGCATCGCCATGCAGGCACGTCCGTTCGGCTTCGAGTGGTACTGCCAATCCCATTCGGAGAACTGGGTGGCCATGTGCCAGGCAACGAATTCCGTCTCAATTGGTGGATCGCCACCGGCCTCCAGGAGCAGCACCTTCCATTTCTTTACCTCGGCCAGACGACCGGCAACCACTGCGCCCGAACTACCCGATCCAATCACAATAAAGTCGTAATCATGCTGGAATCCACCTGCCTGGTCCAGCCAATCGCCCTTGTCCTCTGGCCACTGATTTTGGCCACTCAAATCGCAGTACTTGGTGATCAGCGTGGACAGGAGCAGGGACATCAGGGTATTCGCCGGACCAGCCGAACGGGCGGCGCACTGGGCGCTAAGGAACTCCATCGTGGTGTTCCAAAACGTCCTTCACGTGTGCTGGAAAAAAAACTGCTCATTAGTATCATGGTAAAAATTGAAAAAATAGGCATCTATGATTCTATCTTTTTATAATCCATCTGCCTGGAAAATCTATAGGCTGCCTTTTAAAATTTCGAGATAAAGCACTTCAGATACAGATACACTTCTACAAGTTATGCACTGAAAATCCATGGGATACCTACAGGCTGTGCTCTGTATTATCCTCGGGTGATCCTGCACTGATTCTCGGCACCAGAAATCCGTAATCCACCTGCGGCACACGTGCGAACGCTCTCTCCGCTCGACGGCAACTGTTCTACCGGACCGGCTTTCAACCGGAATTTGTACGTCCGGGCCGCGAACGCTTTTCGTATGCCATTGGCGTCCGTAAATCAAAAAAGAAAGAAAAAAACCAAATCGCTCGGAGACATTTGCATTTCGCTGCGAGTATGTGTATATAGCCGTAGCTATATATATATATACACACACATAAATTAGACGCACCTTCCGCCTTCAGCAGCTGCGCGGCACTCCCCTTATCACTCGAAGATTAGCTAACTGAGGTGTGATAAACCCGCAGCGACCCATGGAAGCCACCCAAAATCAACAATCGAGAATCGTGAATCGAGAATCGTGAATCGAGATTAGAGATTGGAGAATGGAGAATCTAGAGTCTCCCTATGTTCGCACTCGGTTATCTTTATGCTCGTTGGTGGCCGTGTTTTTGGTTCTTTTCTTTCGGTTCCAGCTGATAAGGACAGGTTCTATTCTTGTTGAGCTACCGCCAGCGAAAAACCTGTTTTGTGGGTTTGTGGGTCAAGTTTGGGCAAAAATATGCTAAACATCTTAGTAATGGGCGGTGGAATCTGATTTCTATATATTGTATCTGCTTCTTCATCAGGGTGGTTCGAATTCAGATTACAGTTTATCTGTATCTGTCATGGTATTGGCAAGGCCACAATTGCTTGGTATAGCTTCTATTTATGAACTGTATATACCCTTTTTACTTATTATACGAAATTCAGGCACTAAAAACTTCATGAGCATTGGTTTTCGTTTTATATATTTTATAATAATTGTAAAAAAAACGATTCACTAAATTACTACTGTTTATAAATAACAAACAAATTTAATAGATAACTACTTGCAAATCCATTTAAGAATTTTGTTTAACGTGCGCTATTTTTGTTTTGCTAAGAACAATCTGATAATTAATTTTCATAGTTCGATAAACCGAATTGTGTTGAAGTCCACAGACTTAAATGTATGCACTTGTTGTTGACAAGTTGCCAATCGAAAAGAGGGCTGTGTTTGGAATTATCAAACTAGAAGTCATCCGCATGCATGTGCGGCACCCAGATACCTCCATTGGCGCCAACTGCCTCGCCCTCGTAATCCTCCCGGATGAAGTGGGCCGCCCTCTCGGCAATCATCACCGTGGCCGCATTCGTATTGGCACTGACCACCGCCGGCATGATGCTGGCATCCGCCACCCTGAGGTTCTCCAATCCATGGACCTTCAAGCGCTGACTCACACAGGCCTCGGGATCGTAGTCGGGTCCCATTTTCACGGTGCCCGATTGGTGGTAACAGGTGAAGGTGAAGTATTTGGCATAGCATCGCCAGTACTCCTCACTGCGGTAACTCTCTATGTGATCACACTCTTCGATGGGAATCCTAGCTATCTCGGCCAGGTGATCCTGGAAAGCTTTGGTCTGCTCGAGGGATTCAATGTAGCGTATGCCCCTCATCAACGTGGCCACATCCTCCGGCTTTGATAGGTAATTACTGGTTAGGATGGGTGGCTCCTTGGGATCTCTGCTCCGTAGATGCAATTCACCTTTGGCCGCCGGATGTGAGAGTAGAACATAAACGCACAGCAAATGGGACTCCTTAAGATATCCTTGCAACACGTCTATGTATTGGTCTTGGATGGATAGACCTTTGGTGAAGAGTTCCAGCGAAGCGTGATTGGCTCTCTGAAAGAACAGGTGATGGTTCTCGGTATCCGGATAAGCACTATCACTACTCGCATTGGTGTTGATAAACGCCACCAGGGAGGCGGTGCTGTGAGTGGCCAGCGGTCCGGTGCGATGGATTAGGTACTGATATATGCCATCCAGGATGCCCTTCTCCGTCATTGGCTCGCCTTGACCCTCGTCCAGTCTCAGAAAGATGGGCACGAGCACATGATCCTGGAGATTGCGGCCAACTCCTGGCAGCTCCAGTTCTACGGGTATGCCCAACTCCTTCAAATGCTGACTGGGTCCAATGCCGGAACGCATGAGAAGAGCTGGTGAATCGATAGCGCCGGCCGAGATCACCACATCTTTGCTCACTTTCACTTGATGGTTAACACCAGCCCTTTCGAAGTTGACTGCTGTCACCGTATCGCCATCGAAATCCAATTTGGTGACCAGCGCATTCTTGACCACATGCAGATTGGAACGCGATCTGGAGACTGCACCCAAATAACCCTTGGCTGTGCTCATTCTTTGACCTTCTCTCACGGTTCCCGGCACATGGGCATAGCCCGTTTCACTGCCCTCCTGGAATCTCTCAACATAAGGCAGTCCCAATTCGCGACCGCCATCGATGATCAACTGATGTATGGCATTATCCTGTCTCTCGAACGGCTTCAGGGTCACATAACCCTTGGGATGGGTGGCATTCCCTTGGGGCGTGACGGACTTCTCGAAGAACGGCATCACCTGGTCATAGCTCCAGCCCGTGCTCCCCATTGCCGCCCAGCCATCGAAGTCCCTGCGATTGCCACGAACATACAGCATGGCATTGGCTCCTCCCGATCCTCCCAGCATCTTGCCACGTGGCCAGTAGCAGCGACCTTCCTTCATTCCCAGACAGGCCTCATCACTGGGCTCTGTGAAGTAGTTCCACATGAACTTCGTGTGCTGCAGTCCAAAGAATAGTGCCGGCAACTGCAAGTGCATTTTAGTTATGTATAAATTTACTTTCTTATTATTGCATACTTATAGACATGAAGGTGAATTGATATTTGTGTAAAATTACCACTTACTGCTATCAATACAATCACTTCGATACCAATTTAAATGCAGTTTTAGATACAATTTGTAGATATAAAAGAAGCTTAGACTGTCTTCTTAACAAAACATTGATAAGTGTTAAGTGATATTGCTCGTTATATTTATTAATAATTTTTATGATATGGTGGGGGGCTTTCCCGCCAGACTTTGTTTTGCGTCTTCAGTAGTTTGAGAAGCTCGAGAGTGGAAAATTTTAGTAAGATAGCAGTGGAAAGAGCTGTATAGCTATGTATAAGATTAGACAAAAAATATGCGCGATATCTTGGCTTATGGACTCACCTCAGATTCAATGGGTGGATCGCCGCCCGCCTCCAGGACGAGCACTTTCCAGTCGGGATTCTCGCTCAACCGGCTGGCCACCACGGATCCCGCAGATCCCGCTCCAATGACCACAAAGTCATAGGGCTGACTCAAATCGCCCACATAGTCCACTGGCCACTGGCTGGCGGGTGAGATGAGACATTGCGACGATAGAAGGCTCTGCACGAGGACGGTCATCATGCCACTCCACAATCCGATGGCAGGTGGTGCTGGCGTACTACCGGATCCACACGCATTTGGGCCAATGGCCGCCGCATCCACGTTGATACTCTGGCCGCCGTCTAGTGACATTGCGTTTCTGTTTTCTTTGCGTCTGCTCTTGCCACTCGTTTGGTCCCGGTTCTGTCTGTATCTGAGGCGCGGTTGCGCCTGAAGATTCGCTTTTATAGCCACTGATCTGATAAGCCGGTACAGTGCATCCTCCCCCTGCGGCGACAGAAACTCGAATGGAACCAAGGGAAATACATATATTTAAAAAAATCTTTAGACATTAATCAATGTGAAAACTGTAAAAAGCTCACATTGACTTCAGTGCTTATCGAAAGCATCTTTGTTTACTTTTGAGCAAGTGTACATTTTTTTAAAGATAAAGAGTGGAGTCTTATACGCTATAAATAATTGTTAGTAGTGCACAGATATTTTTTCCTGTGTGAATCAGCATTATAAGAACCAGAATCGCAATCGAAATGAGTTCATCGCCCACTTGAACTACTTTCTTCCAATTACATTAAGTATTTTCCGATTGGCACATTTTGATAAAGTATATACAAATAAATACTAATTAATGTGTGAAAAATTAATTTTTCTAAAATCAAACCAGGATGTGAGGAAGTTTTAAAATCCCAAAATTGCTTTTGAAATCATTAATTGCTAGCCATTTAAAGAGCTGAGCCCAGTTAAACTAAAAACAGTAACGTACTAGAGATTTCGTTGATAACAAATTTAGATAACAAAGTAGCTTTTAAAACAGAGTCCCAAGCTGCACACATTGTATCGCTCCGAATAAGTCATAACCAGATTAAACGAGTATAAAAAGTCATTTATAGCACTTGGCTCGACACAAGACGGCAAACAAAACCAAAGCAATCCAGCTTAATGGAAAACATTAAAATACAAAAAAAAATGCAGCTTAACAAAGTAATTAAAGTGGTGCCCCAAAGGCGCTTAAAAATTAGAGACAATTATTTTTGGGTGTTTCAGAATTCCGGTTAGCGCCACCTGGCGGTCAGAGCCCGCTGTTCATGGCCGTGCGAATAAATAGAATGGGTGCGGGGGGAACGACATTCGCTGCTGCCGAAATCAGACTGCCAACGGGCGCCAAATTTAAACCAGCACTCAGATCTATGAGGAAAAATTGCAGTTCAATAAGTATGTTCAAGGGTATTGAAAGCATAGGAACCAACTTGTTTGAGTTTAAAAAAATGGATTTCAGTTTGACACTCACCCGATGGATCGTTGAGGGGCAAGCGATCCTCACCCAAATCACCACCGGCTGCAGCCGCAGTTGCTGGTCCCGTGCCCGTTTCTGTTCTCACGTCGTCTGTGAGGAACAACTGCTGCGGTCCGGCCAGGCTGAAGTCCAGCAGGAGCAGCAGCGCCACCAGCAGGATGCACTTGGGGCACAGGTTCCGGAGCGTCATATTGCGATCAGTGGCGGACGTGGACTGACCAGCGCAATCGCCGCGCATTCGCATGAAAAGTCTCGAAAACCTCTTCCGATTTGCGGAAAGGTGGCCCACTGGCCCACTGAGGCACTGAGCCACTCAAACTGGTAAAACTCGTAAGCTCGCGCTGCCATTTGCCATTTAGGTTCAGTGGCCGCTCATAAATTACGGACAAAAGCGATTGAGAACAATGCTTCCACGTCAGGATCGAAACTTAAAGATACTCATTGCGAACTCTAATAACTACGACATTTTTTATAGTTCTATTACCATAAGTAACATACGGGCATACAAAATGAAGAGGAAAAATGTAATATGATTTTATTAATTGCATATATACTCCTTAATGTACATTTTTAACGCTACCAAATCGCAAAACTAATATGCTCTCTACTCACAACTAAAACGGACTGCACAATCATAAGTAATCACTGCAAATATTGCAAAACTTCAGATCGCTGACAAGTGTTATTCAAGTTCTCAGACTTTCAAACAGGGAACACAACATAAACGATAAATGCAATGAATTTAATTGAAAATGGGTAACAAAATGCACCGCGAGTCAACTGAATGCCAAGATCATTACCAAAGCAAATTAGCTGACCTGCGGAATGGCAACAATGAATAGTTATCCATGATACTCGTATATGGTTAGTTCCAATTGATATATGGATTGCTAATCGCAGTGGCTGCATTCGTTGACTCCCAGGCAAAAATGAACAAATCCAATGCCATTAGCCAGGCATTTAATTTGATAGTTCTCGAAGGGCTCATCTAGGTTGCAAGATCGTTTTCGTATCATTTGCACAAATACCTTCTCATGAACGCAAAAGTATACTGATTTTTTAAAATATTTATCCAGGTATTGCGCGAGTTATTTGCTTTTTTTTGCGGCAAGTTCACGCTAAAATTTGTTTAAAACTGAATTTATTGCTTTAAATTAAAGTACAAAGGGGCAGTGATATCCAAGTAGCTAGCCCCAACCTCCATCTCTGTAGTGACGCCAGTCCTCCTTGATGATATCCGCTCCCCTCTCCGCCAGCATTAAAGTCGGAGCATTCGTATTGCCAGTCGGAATAGTGGGCATTATGCTGGCATCGATGACCCGCAATCCCCGCATTCCTCTGACCCGCAATCGGGGATCTACGACACCGGCGGGATCCGAGGCTGGAGCCATCTTACAGGTGCCCACCGGATGGTAGATCGTCTGCGAGTAGAATCTGGCCAAGCACTCCCAGAACGCATCGCTGAGATACTCAACCTCCGGGCAATTGCGCCACTCGTAGATATTCATAGTGGCATTCAGGGACTGCATCACCGGCGTTTGTGTTAGACGATGGGCCAACTTCAGGCCCTCCACCATGACGGCCATGTCGTGCGGATCGTCGTAGTAGTTGGCATGGATTAGGGGATGGACTTTGGGGTCGGCAGAGCGTATCTGTAGGAATCCCCGGGAGCGTGGGCGCATCACCAGTGGAGCTATCACAAACGAATCCTGGTAGATCATCGGCTCAAACGCCTCGGCATAGTTGTCCAGTGTAATGGCAGCTCCTCTGCGACCAATCATTCCACCATCGGCTCCGTAGCCATAGCTGCCCATAAAGATTTGGACATCTGGCCAATCCAATCGGGGATCCTGATAGCGAGTGCTGAAGAAGCCCATCACCTCACTCACGGGCATCGCGTAGAAGAAGCTATCTGATCCTTGAACAAAATCCTCCACCGCCTGTTCGTTCATCATTTCGGGCACAACGAACGACAGATGATGATTTTGGCCACTGTCGAATGTGTAGATGGCGCCCGAGGTGGAGATGTGATCCTGCAGATTGCCACCCACACCGGGTAAATGCTGCACCACCGGAATGCCCAGTGGTTCCAGTTGATCGCTCGGGCCCACACCACTGACCATCAGGAGTTGCGGACTGGCCAGGGATCCAGCGGACAGAATCACCTCCCGTTTGGCTCTGACCGTGTGCTTCAGCAGACCGTACTCGAAGATCACTCCGATTGCTCGATGGGATTGCGGATCGATCAAAATTCGCTCCACAAAGGCCTTGAGAACGATATCCAAATTGGGACGCTGCCAACTCCGGCGAATATATCCCTTATTGGCACTGCAACGCAGTCCATCGCGAAGGCTTCCATGTGGTGGAGCGAACCCTGTCTGAGTTCGACCATTGAAATCGCCATCGGGATGAACCAAGCCCAGCTGCTGGGCAGCCCTCATGAAAATGTCCAAAAGCGCTGAGGGAAATCTAGGAGAAGTGGCGTTGAAAAATGCGATTGCTCTGTGGTATCTTCAACTCACCTATATCTTTCAACGGAAATGGGACCACCATGGCCATGGTACGGACTATGCTCGAATCCAGGCACCCTCATGTCCTCCAGCTTGCGGAAATAGTGCAGAACATTGGCGTAATTCCAGCCAGGATTGCCCAGTTCCGCCCATTGATCGTAGTCCCGTCTATTTCCGCGTATGTACATCATGGCATTGATGGAACTGCATCCGCCCAAAACTTTGGCCCGTGGCCAAAAGCAGCGTTGATCCTCCATGGCCAAGCAGTATCGATCCGATGGCTCGGTGAGGTACTTCCAGTCCCACGGGCTTCGCTGGAATACCGGATACAATTGCGGCAAATCGATGAGCAGTGGCTCATCCCCTCCAGCTTCCAAAAGTAGTACACTCCATTCCGGATTCTCCGAGAGTCTGGCGGCTAAAACACAGCCCGCCGAACCGCCGCCAATGACTATGAAATCGTAGGATTCGCGAAGATCTTCGATTTGTATGGAGCGTACGCGATGCTGTTCATCCACAATATCCGGCCGCTGCTCCAGGATGCCCTTGTTCAGGAGCAGGATGATCATGGCCGAGGGGCCGAGGGTCAGCAAGAACCGCCACATGGCCACAAACGTGTTGATCGCCGACATCGTGAATACACAACTGACTGAGTTTCGGCGGAACTACTTGTATTTTTCTACACTCCAGCGAAACTGCTGATCCAGCTGAAGTCAGTTTTGCTGATCCACCAAGATGCATTATTTCTGTGAGTGCATTGACCAATATGCAAAACACTGGCTTCTGCAATCCCAGTTACTCCACAGCAAACTCGGTCTGCAAAAGAACCTAGTAACACAGAAATTCTACCTTGCTTATAGTTTATTTAACTATAAATAAACTATAAAATGCGTTAAGCGCAAAGATCATAAATAAACTCGTGTATTGAAAGGCAACTAAGTTCGCATTTAAGCAATTAAGAATGGGCAATTTACATTTGATTCAAAAGCTGTCTAGACTTTAACCTTTACTCCAAGTTCTAAATATTATTAACACAAATTTAATTGAGATTTGCTTGTGCGCAGAAAGTGATGGGAAGTGTTAATTTAGATTAAAAGCTGTATAAAGTCGTAATTATAGGGTATATTTTTCCAAAACCTTTTACTCGATTCTACTTTGGTTTGGTATTTGATTTGGAATCCACCAGTTTGGATATATTTGTCTGAAAATGGAATAACATACCTCGTTATTCCCGTAATTAAATTCCCAATCGATTGGTATTCATATTTGAACGCTTGAATTTTTTGCCATTTTTCGCAAAATTGTTTTTCAAACCCATTAAAAAGTAATGAGGCTCTTTATAATTGATAATAAGCTGTTTAAAGCATTCAGCTACACGAACATTTTTGTACAAGTTATGAAGATAAAACCCCTGTATATATCGAATATTTGACGAAAGTCGTGCGAAATGCAATATTATTATTATCTGTCATTTATAATTAAATTACCAATAATCAAGCCACTTTAAGTCATGCTGAAGCTGTATTGATTAAACATAAATGTGTGTTTGGCTTATTGCAATTGTATCAAAACTTATTTGCAGTTTCTCCTAAAGTTATAATAATACATATGTATAATACACATTATAAAAGATCAGCATTCCTGGACCACCTCATTGTTCGCCTCCCGATCGTCGAGAATCATTTGAGCCCCCTTTTCACCAATCATCATGGCGGGTCCATTCGTATTACCCGCTGGCAATTCCGGCATAATGCTGGCATCCACCACCCGAAGACCCTTGACGCCATGCACCCTCAATCTTTCGTCCACCACGCCGCCATCCTGCTGGGCATGCGCCTCCTTCCTCGGAGCCATGCGACAAGTGCCCACCGAATGCCAGGCACCCACATAGAAATATCGGATGTAACACAACCAGTAGTCATCGGAATCGGGAGCTAATATGTCGCATTCGGCGAGGGGCGGCAGCCAAAGTCGCAGACCACATCGACGAAAAGATCGGGTTTTGCTCAGCTTCTGAATGTATCGCACATAGCGAAGTAGCGTCTTCTGATCCTCTAGAGCCTGGCCATAGTGGTTTTCGATTTTTGCCTGATCAGCGGCACTCTTGCTCGATAGACGCACTCTTCCTTGCGAAAGGGGACGCAATAGTGAGCCCATGATTTGCAGCAGATCTCCTTGCTGCAAGATATCCTGCTGGGCCTGAACCAAGTCCGGCCGAAAGCCCAAGTAGCCAAAGCTACCGGTGCTTCCTTTGGGCAAAAGAGTGTGGGCCACCACGTGCAGATCGGGTTCACCACGACTGCTGCTCGGCGAACTGGAATTGATGTAGCCCATCATGTAGAAGCCACTGGCCAAAGGACCCCTCTGATTTTCCAGCAGATACTGCGTGACAGATACGGGAGCATAGGGATTCTCTGTTGGATCCCGCGTACTGTTGACGGCACAGTTCGAACCGAAGAGCAGGAACAACGGCATCATGCCATGATCTTGTAGATTTCGACCCACTGGCAGGTCCTGGTACGTAGTTATGTTCCATCTCTGCAGCTCCTCCCGCGGACCGATGCCCGAGAGTAGAAGCAACTTGGCGGAATTGAGGGTGCCGGCACTCAGGACCACTTCCCCCGAGGTTCTCGCCGTATGTCTTGTACCATTGGTGGTATAAACCACTCCAGTTGCCCGTGAGCCCTTCGCATTTAGTAGCACCTTCTGAACCTGGGCTCCTCGTACTA